TGGCGCCAGTGTCCGGCAGCCTCGCCTCTGTCAGTGCGCCCCAGGGCCGCTGTGGCTACAATGTAGCTTGCCATCGCCAGTGTGTGAATGTGTGTGTGAATGGGTGAATGACTGAATGTAGTGTAAAGTGCTTTGGGGTCCTTAGGGACTGAGTAAAGCGCTATACAAATGCAGGTCATTTACCATTCTTGCAGAACATTGTGTTCTTCCCTATACTAACTGCTATCAATATACTGGACACAAGTGGGACGTATCAGCTGATAGGTGGATAGATAATGTCAGTGGCTGATTTTTTTCCTGTTATGTCATATCGCTTTTACACTGGCTGAAAAAGCTAATTCTGTGTCACCTCATTCAAAGCTTCTCATTTGATCATCTCAGATTTGCCAAGGGGAAAGATACACTTCTCTGAACCCAGTTCAAAGGTGATGATGAAAAACAGTTAATTTGTTAATCTTTTTGTTTTACTTAAAAAATGGAGGAACGAATCACAACAAATACTGAATAAACAAAGGCAGAGAAATGTGGGAATAGCTAAGCAAGTTTGGGCCTGGTTAGTACTTGGATGGGAATGCCTGTAAGCTTACAGGGGTGGCTGTAGTGCTGATGGCTCTCCGATGCATCCATTGGTGATAGAAAGCACTTAGGTAGAAAAAGCATAGAAAAAAGTGTTTATATGAATGTGTGTGAATGGGTAGAAAAAGCACTTTTATAAGAACTACCAATTACCATTTACATATACGTGGGCCACATGCCTGTGCAAAACATAAATACTAATAATAGCCCAGCTGGTGCATCCGTATGTTTTGTGTTGGCAAGTGTCTTTTCATGTAGTTTGACACCATGATTTTAAACATAGATAGCATTTTATTAGCTGTGATATCAGCCATTCACATGTGATTGTTCAGTGTTGAAGCATCATTTCCTTGCAGCATGCCTGTGGTCAGGTTGGTTTCCTCAGCTACCCAGCCTACAAACAACTTAAAAGCCCGAGCTGTTACCTCTGGCTCTGGGACAGCGGCTGTAGATCAAGAGGAATGAGAAGCTCAGCTCTCTGTGTTTACTGTAATTCAGCTGTCAGAAGTGGTGATATATGACATATTGAGTAAGAGAGGTGTTTTCACGCAGACTAGAAGGAGGAAGACCGAAAGAGAGCCACAGGGTTTGTAGCTACTAACAATGGAGAAAATACAGACAGTGTATAAAACATATGTCTGCTGTGTGGAAGAGAAAGGGTGAAGCACCTCAAGGAGGCCCGTGCTCAGTGTTTGTGCATAAAAAGGTTTTTGCTTATTTGACATATTAGGTGTTCACTTCATTTCTATTTTGTTCATCTAAAATGTGTCCAATTATCCTGTTTTGAATAAAATACGTTTATCAGACGTTGTGCAGTCTCTGAGAGGTGTTTGTGGAGAAATCCAGAGTGGACTGTAAGCATTTTATTGCCATCAGCCTCAGAATACATTACTGTCACATGTTACATTCAGATTTCATGTTTTTCTTTTACAGTGACCGCAGCGGCGCTAGTTTTCAGCCTTCTTTCTGCCACGTTTTGATTGCTTGACCAAAGGATGTCTCGTCCTTCTCCATCCCCCATTTACACCCTGAGGGGGGCGGGCGGACCCCTTAACACGCTTCACTTTAGCTGCCAAGGAGAGGGCACTCCCCTCCTGTTTTCTGGGTGAGCCATGATTTGCTCCTTCATCTTTTTGAACGTTAGTTTCTTTGAACAAGAGTAAATCTTACCATTTTTGTAGCTACTGTAAAGCAGGTTCTATGTATGTGATGATCATTAAAGATCCTTCACAAAGCAGCATCCTTGTTTTTGCAGGTCAGGAAACGGTGCCATACATATCTGGAACCTGAACAGCAGGAGGGCAGAGAAGATCATAGAAGCTCACTCTGGTAACTCTGTCATCTGGGTCGGCACGCTGCAGTCAGCAGATGCACTCATCAGGTAAACCTTTCAGCCGTCTGGTTCTTACCTTCATTTTCTTTGTGAATAAGAAATATTGTTAGTATGTCAGTTGTGGTTTAATTCTATACAAACTGTTTGATTTTAAAAAGTATATTATAGTGAATAACTGCAGATTTTCAGCTCTGGTTTCGCTCTTCCTGTTGGTGGCGCAGTCAGGGCCGGGACATGCAGGTCTGCTGGTGGGACGTGAGTGAAGGTCGCAGTGAGCTGGTGGAGTCTGTGCGGACTGGCAGTGTTGGATTCTGTCAGTGCTCCCTTCTAGAGACGAGCCCTGCAAATTACCTTCTGGCCTACGCTGGGGAGCAGACGGAGGAGGTTAGACATCAGCAGTGTCAACTAGGGCTGCACGATTTTGCATAAAATGAGAATCACGATTTTTTGGCTTAGAATTGAGATCACGATTCTCTCACGATTTTCTTTTCCAGTATAAATATTTATTGCACTTTTTAACTGCACATCAACTTCGTAACAGTTGAGACTGAACATAAAAACAACAAATGTCTCACGTTTTGTCGTTGCTGCAAAATGTTGTACTGCTTGAAATTCCGTCTCCACCGTTGCTCGACGCTGCGTGTATAGAGCAGGTAGTGCAACAATAGAAAAATAGTTGCGGGACGGCACTGTGTAGCGTTTGTCTAGGGTGTTGATCGTTTTCCTAAATCCCTCGTTTTGCACAGTGTTGATGGAGCCATATCTTTGGTCAGGTGATAAGTAATAGCCTCCGTAATTTCTTTGTACCTGCAGGAGTTCGACGGGTATAGGGAAGCGCTGTATAAGGTTCCCGTTATTGATGTTTGGGTGGTTGACCGGGACGGATTTTCTCCTGTCACTTTCTCGTCATCCCTGACGTGCTCTCCGTTGTTTTTTCCCTGCCAATTTTAGCAGCCAGCTTCTGTATCACGTGGTATAAGGCTCCGCCCTTGTCATTTGTTGAGCAGGAAGAGTGAGCGCTTGTTTTCATGCAGATTACGTCCCGGATCAAAATGCGGTACAATCGTCGTCTTTTTTTTTTCTTTTTTTTTAAATCGTTGTCATTTGGAAATGAGATCGCACATAAGTATGAATTGAGATCGCGATTTTCTAACGATTAATCGTGCAGCCCTAGTGTCAACATTCAATTGTCTTTACAATTCATGTTCATCCCCCGCCTCTTTATCAGCGCATGCTGGGATTTGCTAAATCTCTGAACCTAAAGGGAATCTGTTTCCAGTTCAATATTTTTATTCCTGGTCTCCACAAGAGTTACTTTTCATGATCCATAGATCCAGATGATACTTGTCCTATACTAAGCCTTGAATTCCTTCAGTCAATTCTTAGTCTAAAATGAGACATTTTAGCTCCTTTGGCTGTTTTTAAGCTTCTTTTTACTTCTTACTGTCCGAGCCTTGTGAATAAAAAGTTTGAACAACAGGTGTGAACTTGAGAGAACTATATCACGAACATCCGCTTTCACTGATGTCTTACCATATAATATGATACAGAACCAAGAGTAGACAAAACTGTCTGAACCCTGAGCGTTTAGAGAAGTCTGAAGCCTGAGCTGTTGGCTCACAGGGATTAGCTGTACTTATGCTGAACTCATTATTTGAAACTTCAGCCATGTTTAATATGAGCATCTGCTATTGTAACTGTATAGACATGAGGGAAAACAAGGGAAAGCTTAAAGGTTCCTATTATAGATATAAGGTAATTAAGTTATCTTGAGTATTATATAAGTATTATACTAACTATTACTTGTTACTGTTCTTAAAAGTAATGGAGTATGTTGATTAATTACTTGCCAGAGAAAGTAAAGCATTAAATTATTCGTTGCATTATTTTCTTGTTACTCCGTAAAATGACCTGAAGTGCACCGTCACATAATGGCCAGTCCCACACTAACACAACTCCCTGTTCTAACAAGGAAACACATTCAGTCTTTCTTTTAGTTTTTATGTATGAACACAAAGCAAAGATGAAAGCCAGCCCAAAGAGACCTCAAAGCGATCACAACAGTGATTCTACTTCAGAAACATGAACAGGTAGATTGCCTGCTGAAGTTCAGGCTCTGGCTGCCAGGCTGGGGTCAGCAAATGCTCAGCTTTAATTTGTGGCTCTTTCTGCCTTTGACTCAATTTGCATTAGCATTACACTCCTGTCCATTTGGGCTCTAAAAATAAAAATAACGTCTGTATCGCCACTCCTCAAAAGCTGACAAACACAAGTCAGCTGATTGTGGCTCAGGAAGAAAAAAGCATGTTTGGTTGTTACGTAGAACTGAAGACCGATTGCAATGAAAATAACAACATAATTGTATCTGTAATGTAATTACTGAAGTCAGTTGTTTAATGCTTACTGAAAAATGTAATGTGCTACTTCTGACACTGCAGGTTCGACTGCATCCGTCCGCATTCAATTAAATTCCCATTTGTTGAGTAACTTGATGCTCCGTTTCATTTTGAACTGACATGGAAGGATTTCGTTAGCATATAAATAGCTCGGCTTTTTGGGTGAGCAGCTTAATTGGTTTAAACCGTCTGAGTTGAGTGTAAAAACACATCCTGTATGAACCTGACCAGACTTGCTGTTGCTGTTCAACTCAATGGAATTCACACATATTTGTGGGTTTTGATACGTAAGTGTGCTCTCGGAAAATTGTGTTCCTCAAAGTTGTTTTTGTTACAAGTTCGACATGTCATCTTTCCATGATGTTTTGCATTTGATGTGATCCATAAGCGTATTGAATCCATTCAGGTAGTGTCAACATGACACATGAGCATGCCCTCTGCAGCCAGAAACTGTCAAACCGTGATCTGAATGGCATCATTAGCAAACCTTGATTTTATGCATCAGCGTGCACGTTTGAAGGACAGGATCTTAGTCCTGACCACCAGCTAAATGTTGGTTAATTGTGGTTGTGGTTAGTGACATTCTTTTCACTGAATGCTTTTGTCTAAAACACATGGCTTTGAGAATTCCTAAGAAAGCAAAGCGCAGTTTTAATTGTGCTTTACAGTAAGTAATGAGCATGTTCCTGCTTAAAAGTCAAAGTAGCTGTTTACATTTTTGTCTTTGAATGGTGGCTTAAAGAGAAAAGAATCCCAGCCCAGTCCTGATGGTGGAATGAAATCACAGTTTTGTCTGTCTTGAGGTTAATTTTCTACCCCCACACGCCTGTTTGGTTTTGTGTGGAGCCAGTGTCTGAGTGGTGAGGCAGGATGGGGCAGCCAGCTATTCAGCCATCTTTTATTGCCTCCAGATTCATGTTACGTGCTCTTCTGTGGCAGAGCTGCACTTGAAAGGGAAGGAGCGGTCACCTGATCCAGTCAAACGTGCCTCTGCTAACCTCGGTCCAGTGGGCCAGGCATCAGGGCGCCTGTGACTCCCAGCACCTCAATAATGCCATTGTCCCAACAGACACAGACAGAGACACACCTACAGACCCATAAACGGCAGACCAAAACAGGCCACACTCTCTCTCTCCACCCCATTCCACAGACATAACTGACCAAGACAGATCCCTATCATGCATCTGCAAGTAAAAACACACCCATTAATGAATTACCTTAAGGAACAATACTGAGGCACTTGCCACAGAGCGTTCACAATGGCATGATTCAGCGCCTCGGGCAAAATACGGGGCGATATTTAGATATGTAACCGAGACAGGCAGCAGTTTCCATCTGAAGCTATTTCACGTGGTTTTATTGTTTACTGCTCACAGTGAGATTCCTGCCAGCAGCTTTGCTGCCACGGGAGCAACATTAATTAATAGTGTGGGTGTTTTATTTATGGGCAGTGTGATGCCACACAAGAACAGTGATCACCTGAGGCACAGAGAAGTCCTTAAAGGCCCTCTTTGTCAGGCACGCAGAGGTAAACATGCAGGACAGATGTGGCTTAGCGCTAAAATACAGATCGCTTCCTTTAAGGGCTGTTTAATCTGAGGCCTAATGAGAATGAATATGAGCAGCGTATATCATCCGCGTGGAGAAAGTCGAAGGAATGAGCTTTGGTCAGGATGTGTGGGTACACACGCTCGCACGTGCACGCACACACATCATCATTAGCCTGTGTATTTTTTATCAGAATCAGTGCCAATGTGTGCAGGAAAACACCACTCAGGTCGCAGGGTGAGCCTTTAGCAGGATTTATTATAGACAGTGAGGCGGCTGCTCTGCGCTGATGGATGACACTGTACTGCTGGTTGGAGGGACTTGGATCCGTGGAGGTCCTGAAAAAGCAAGTATGGATTTGGGTTGCAGGTTTGTTACTTGAATGCAGAAGACAGACAAATTCCAACTTGGCAATTAGAACTTGTGTGTATATATAATTTTGTGCCAGTAATGAAAACAGATTAATGAAAACACATACGCTGCCATTTTTCGCTTTTGGGGTGAGAGATAGCAGTCCTGTTTGGCAGGAACACGACCTTGATTGGGATGAAAGCATTTTAA